ATATCCTATTTATCTCTCCTAGGCTTTGAGTTGCCTTCCCATTGGGGTCTGTAACTGAAGAGATAGCTACTTTCTCTTTATTCTGTTTTAGTTGGTTTGCTAAAAATTTCACATGCAAAAAATCAACATGTCGATTTTTCACGCCTAAAGACATAATTTTTTTACACTTTCAGACATCAAAAACAGTAGTAAATGCATTTCTCTCTTTTTAAATTAGGACATACACTTAATTATTTAAAAATATAATAAAATATGTGCATGTATGCGTATATTATTAATATTCTTAATTACAATTCTTGTTGCTACTAGTAGTTGTATTTAACAATTTTTACTACTCTTCTTATTAAAGTAAGTATTTGTCACCACAGCACAGTGCACTAAATGTGACCTCTGCATGTGACCCATCTGTGAAGGAGCAGTGGGCAGCTGACAAGCACTGTGCCGGTAGCAGTCATGAGCAAGGTACAGTACCCAGTTACTACTGGGGGATAGCCTGTCAACAGGAGGGGAAAATATTTGAAAATATTTTTTTAAATATTCAAAATGTTTGTACAATGTCATCATCTGTCTATTTAATCAATAAAAAAACTAAAACGTTTTCTTTTAATTCATAAATCAGCAAGTCAGCCCCTTCATCATAGCTATGTCATAGCATTCTGCTTACAATCTTGTCAAGTTTTATACTGTATAACACGTATGCCCACTTCACCTCTATTGGCACACACAGATATAGAGAACAGTCAGAGTGAAGGAAGGTGATTCAAGATTCAAGATTCTTTATTTCTCACATGCATAGTCATACAGGTACAACATGCAGTGAAATGTATAGTGAACCGCTCTTTTTGACTGTGCCTCCATTAAATAATTAATAAAAAAAAATCAAGCAAAGAACACAAATTAAATTTGTAAAACAATGTAGGAAAATAGTAAAACTTTGAAACAGATTAAACAAATCTGAGACAGATTTGCATATGTGCAAGTTATAAAGAAAAAGTGCATTTTGCAATGTCTGCACAACAATGTGAACTGCTTAGAGACCCTTGTAATGGTGTAGCAGCATGATCAGTGCATGTACAGTAATAAATGATGGAGACAGTATGGAATGACAGACATTATTAATACAGACAAAAATTAGGTTGCTCTGCAGTGATCAAGAATGTAATACTACAAAAAGGAGGGGTTGGACATGTCTCAATTGAGAAGCTGAATGGCCTGAGGATAAAAACTCCATTTTCGCCCACAGGACTGCCGCATACTGGATGTTTTTCCCTTTGCACACCATTCTTTGTAAACCCGAGAAATGGTTGTGCGTGA